GTGTGACGGCCGTCAAGCAGATCCCAATCTGTCTCTGCAATCACATTCGCGAGCCGGATCTGCTCCCCACTGCCTTGTGGGTCAGGCTATTGAGAAAAATTCATCCGGTAGAGTCCCTCAAGCAAACCTCCGAAACACAACCGCCACCTCGCTTGCGATTGCCCACCAATCCAATCGTATGTCTGCGCTCAAAGCGCTCAGCCTCGGGTGCTGGAACGTGCGCACACTACTGGACCGGAACTCCAGCGAGCGCCCCGAGCGACGCACTGCACTAGTCGCGATGGATCGGGCGCGCTACCACATGGATATTGCGGCGCTCAGTGAAACTCGGCTCGCTGAGCAAGGTAAATTGCATGGTGCATGTGCTGTCTGCACATTCAACTGGATGGGCAACGCTGCCTCAGTACCACATGAACATGGGGTCGGATTTGCGCCATTCGTTCGCCTCCATGGCCAACTCGTGGTTGAACCAACATGCGTCAGCGCGCGACTGATGACTGTCCGCCTACGACTCGGAAAAGGTAAGTTTGCCACTTTTATACTCACGTATGTTATCCTGCTTACACGCGTGATCTAAGCCACGTTCAGTTTTCGTCCGTGATACTGTCTGTGCCGAGGAGCGACCGACTATTTCTGCTGGATGATTAAAACCCGCGTGTTGGCGGGATGCATCGGTGTGAATCGATGTCATCGATCTGCATGGCATTGGTTCAGCGAGTGCGCACGGTGACAGGCTGCTCTCACTGTGTGCCACTCACGGCCTGACGATCACGAACACTCGGTTTGCATTGAGTGCCAGTGAGATAGCGACTTGGACGCACCCACGAAGTGGTCACGCTCACCTGCTCGTCTATGTCATCGTAAGTCAGCGTGATTTGCGTGAAGTGCGCATGACACGTGTACTGCGTGGAGCTGAGTGTAGCACTGAGCACAAATTGGTAAGGACCAAACTGTACATATATTTTCGTAAATTTATGTATTGCACTCCCGCCATGAATCGACGTAAATTTATCGTTCTCTCCCTCGGTACTGTGGAGAAACGAAGTGAGCTGCAGAAGGAGGTGACTGTAAGCTTGTGTGATGTGGAATGCAAAGCCTGAGTGAGCGGCCTTTGGCGCCACATTCGCGAGCAAGTGACAGGTGCTACCGAGGAGACCATGGGGCGCGCAAAATTTAAGTCGCCTGATTGGTTTGATAAGAACAATGTGACGATTAGTATATTGATGTCGGAGAAGGATGCAGCATTTGCTACGCATGTCGCAGACCCCAGTGACTTGGTGAAGAACAGTCAGGTTGTCAAACTTCGACCGCGACTGACAGAAGAGCTCTGTCGCATTAAAAATGCAAGGTGGAAGGTGAAGATCTGGCTGATAGAATACTTTGCCAAACGCGGTCAACACAAGGAATTCTTCCACTCTTTGAAAACGGTGTATGGACCGACGTTTAAGCCGCTGAAGACGCTAATCGATGGTAGTTTAGGCGCTACCTGTGCAAAGACTGCAGATATAATGCAGATCTGGCGAACGCACCTTGACTGTCTCTTGCACTATTGTTCAGAGATTGACTGGCGTGGTTCGAATGGCCTGAATAAGCACCATGTGAAGGCCAGTCTGATGGACACGCCGACACTGGCTGAGACGCAGAGAGCACTTGCGCAGCTGCGAAACGGCAAGTGTGCCGGTGCCGATGGGATCCCGCCTGAAGTATTGAAACATGGCTGAACCGCGTTGTTGATTGCTCTGCACCATTTGGTGCAACGCGTATGGATTGAGGATGAGGTGCCTCCAGAACAGAAGGATGCCCCTTGTGTTACCACTGTACAAGAGCAAAGTCAGCAAGCTACGTTCCAATAATTATAGTGGCAAAAACTAGCTAAGTTGTGTAGACAAGGTGATCGCCCGCATCCTGCTCAACCGCCTCGTCAGTCAGGGTGGGCAACCGAACGTGGCTGAAGATTATGGGGATTCCATTCAGGTAGTAGCACAAGAGCCTTGCTGTTGGCTGCCTGTCAGTTGCAATGAAGGTGTAGGGAACGACACAGCCATTGTACTCGCTTTTTGTTGATTTCACAAAAGAGTTTGATACGGTGAATCGGGAGACATTTTGGCTGGTGTTGGGTAAGTTTGGTTGCCGGCGTAAGTTTGTAACTTTAACTGAATGTCTGCACTGTGTTATGTGGGCGGATGCAATTGAGTGGACAGTTCTCGGATGATATTGCATTTGTCCTTGGTGTGAAGTAAGGTGGTGTTTTAGCTCCTTCCCTGTTTAATATATATCTTCATGCAATGTTGTCTTGTGCTTTTGATGCCGCTTGTGCTTATGGTGTTCGTGTGGAGCACAGTATTGATGGTGGGTTGCTGAACATCCGTCGTTTCGGTGCGATAATCCTAGTCTGTGCGAAAACTATCCGTATGTTGCTGTTCGCTGACGACTTTGCATTGTTTGCACACAGCGCGGATGCGGTGAAGAACGTGAGTAGTGCTCTGACTTCGACTGGGGTCAAGTTTGGGCTCACCATCCACACAAGTAAAATTTGCTGCCACTCTCTGCCTTCACTGGATGCGCAATCAGCAATAGTGCCGTGAATCTGCATTGCTGCTGAACTGTTTGCTACCACCTCCCGCTTCTGCTACCTAGGGAGTGTAGTTCCGACTGACCAGCCGCTACACAGTGAGCGTTGTATTAGCGTCTCGAAGGCAGTGGCTTCATTTGGGAAGCTGGAGTGCCGAGTGTGGAACGACCATCAGCTTACCGTTAGCACGATGTTGAATGCGTACTGATCCATGGTGCTGTCCATTTTTCCATACGGCAGGGAAACCTGGGCCATGTACCAGCGAGATATGAGATATATCGAGCGGTTGCAACAACAGTGTTTGCGATGGATCCTGCGCATCGTTTGGTGTGACAGAGTTGCAGACGCGAAGCAGTTACGCCGAAGGGGAATGAATGCAGTGAATCGCATACTTTTGCTAAGACACTTGAGATGGCTCGGCATGCAGAGCAACCGAAGTTACCTTACAATGACATTATCATAGTTTGCCTCTCACCTTCTAATTTTCATTTCAGGTGTTGGGTATCGGAGGTGGTTGATCAGCGCACAAGGCGCGATCTGAAGGCAGTTGGCGAGGTGCAAGAGGGAGCCTTCTTTCATGCAGCGAAAAAGCGGCAATTGCGGAAGCGACCGGCACCGGTGGGTTGTACTCCCTCTACGTCGAGCGAGTGGTGCTGTATCACATGCGGTCGCGAGTGCCTGAGTCAGGCAGGCCTTGTGAGCCCCGAGCGAGGCCACTCGGAACCAGGATCGAAACGAAGACATGTCCTGCAGAGAACGTATACATGGCCGGTGCAGCGTTTGTAGGTACACTGCATTCGATTTACTAACCGCTTGCTTGCATGCTTGCTCTATTTATTTCTGGTGGCGGGTTTGCTATGTTGTCTCATTAATGTCCACCTGGATTGTTTTCTACTAACTTGCACACATCGCTCAAGTTAAGTACAGTTAATTTTGATAACATTTTTGAGTTTGTGACCTTTTCTTAAAATATATTTGCTGACGTTTTGAACCTATAGCGCAATTTTGGCAACCAATTTATTTCCTCTGCTCATTTATTGAATAGCTATGTCGGCATATCTGTGTGCATTATTCGAGTTATTTTATTTGGTGTTGTCCTTTCAACTTCTTGGCTGTTGTTTGACATCCCCGGTGTGGCTGCACTGGATGTGCATGTTGACGAGGTGCCTACCTGTCTAGTACCCACTACCTCGGCCATAATGGCTCAAGGAGATAGCATGTGTGCCACATACAGAGGCTGAAGCAATCATGATGCTTCTTCACCGCTGCTGGACTAAACCAACTTACGCTGACACTTAAAATGGTCATCATAGTCTAGAGAAGTTTAATTCCAACTTATTTGGTTTGTTCTGCCTACCTGAATAATCTTCTGTGAACTTGCATACGTTGCTTACTTTACTTTTCGTTAGCTTCGTCACCTTTATCGCGTTTGTGGCATATTTTGAATAACGTTTGCACATTTTGCACTTATCGCGAATTCATTGGTAACCGACCTACTTTCCATGCCAATTTATCAAACAGTTATGTCGGCATAGCTGTCAGTTTTAACTGTTATATATTTTATTTGATCATGATATTTTAAGTGACTGCCTGTTACTTGATATCCCAAGATTGGCTGCGTTTAATGTGCATGTTGACAAGATGCCTACCTGTTTATTACCCACTATTTCTTCTATACTGTCTCCAAGAGACAGTTGGTTGTTGCTGGAGGGGGCGGGGTTCACTGCCCTCGTAGCCGTGCTAGACTCGAATAGTGGTTCTATGCATCCAGTGTGGAGCGTGCCTTGTGTACGCTTGATTCCCCAAATACAGCGTGCTTGTGTTTGCCTGTGAAGGAGTGTGGGTTGGCTCCATTGATGGAACGTGGCTCCCATGCACATGCCTCCCGGTCTTATTCCTTCGGGTTTACACTGGATATGGGGTGTGTGGGTGGAGCTGTCGTTGTTGCAGCGCAAGCCATCGATGGTTCCTCTGTAGGCGCAGGCGTCCTGTGGCTGGCCACAATGAGAGGCAAATCCGAAACCGGATGCCGCCAACAATGTGTGTATACATGTTGAATGAAGTTGTGAACGTAACGTCCCTTGTGTGACTGTAGACTACTCCCAAGGCAATTGGCGCGAAGAAATTACTTCTCGACAGCTCTCATCAGGTGTATACAATCAAAGTGCCATTTATCATATGTTGATCCTGCTATCTCTAGCCAGTATATGCAAGGTAGTATATCCCTGGATAAGTGCAGTGCGTATGGGTTCAAATCAAACCAACTGCGGTGGATCAATTGCCTTGAGGTCAACTGACTAGGCCAAGCACATGGCAAGTTAATGATTGACACCAGAGTCTTCTGGTTACACAGTTCTAGCTGTAGCTCTCTGATTGCAATAACTTCAGCAGTAGTCAGCAAATGCCTTCTGAGCCCTTTTGAGGTCCGCTTCGGCACAACAAAGAAAACATTAAAAGTGTTCTAAGCTCTTATTTGTTGGCCGACGTTAAGTAGGTGTTTTGAGATGGAGCTGTGCATATTCTTTACCGTACCATGCTGCAATGATGCGGAGCAATGCTCAGCAAGTTCCTTCGATAGACGTCTGCTCGTATGTCTAATAAAAATAGCAACACAGGTACAGGTGGACTGATATACAACACAGGAGTTGGACTCCACCGGAAGCCTATGTTTAAGGCGTTGCGTAATGAGAGCGACTGTTTCAATGCGAATGGGAACTCTGGCTGCGATCGACACCTTTCTGTAAACTAGCTCGAACAGACGTCTCCCTTGAAAGGAACTGGCAGAAATAGACTTGATGACAGTCCTCATACACTTATTGGGATAGCGGACAATCGAATTCATCTTGATTCAAATAGCCGGATAGCCGTTGCTTTCTAACCTTCTCTGGATAAAATCCTTCTTCGCATCCAATGTCTCTCTGCTGAAGAGTTTCGTGGCTTGATTGTGTTTGAACGGGTTGCCAGTGCAAAAAAGCGATTACAAGAATTATCTGAAGTGGATGACCGACCTCCGTAAAGAATGATATCACTTTTGTGGGCAAGTGACCGTGGCCAGTCACATCCGCCATATATCAATGTTTTTAGACAGACATTTATGGCATTTCATGTACTTTAAAAATCAGCAAACTCCTATCAAAATCTCTCTTCATACCTGGCACCACGTACCATACACAATGACTAAGAATTTGAACTACAGGTCCTAAACAAAAAGGATTGTCCTCTTACTTGGTGTATTTCCGGTTAGCGGTTTGTTTACCCGACAGTGTAGCCCGGCATACACCGAAGACCGTCAATCATGAGCAGTCACAATTTGTCTGGGTGGATGTGAAAAGTTTGTACGGATGTGAATATCACCGCAGCACAGCAAAAAGGTGCTAACTCAGTCGGACAAGGTGACTTGGCTCTTAGACAATAAATAAGTAAACTCAGCTGACTCATTCTCAACTATCGCATTCTAATGACAACCGTTAAATTACTGCGCCGCGTGCTTTCCAAAGCAACAAAACAACGGTTTAACACATCTTAAAACTCCCATGGGTGAAACCTAATGGATGAAAAATAAGTGTAAATTACACAAGAGGCGCGGTATTGGTTCAATTAAGGGTTGCGTAATTTTACAGACGAAGACACACGTTTCGATTTTGCGAGGGAAATGATCTCACGCCAATGTCTGTACAGACTGTCACCTAATCGTACAATAACTGACACGGTGTAGGCGTATTGTCAAGTTATCTTCGGAATAGCGACGAGAAGGGGGCCGAGTTGCGTAAACTGGAATAGCGTCCCACGCCTGAGGTGATCGTAGAAGAGAAGTGTCCAATCTTCTAGCCTACTGTACCCAGTAGCTGGCTTAAACTTATGATCTGTCTGATTGGGTTTTGACCCAGATTCAAGAGAGGTTGACCTTTTTCCGAATCTAATGCACCATCGTGTGATGGAATCGCAGTCGGCGATAACCTCCAGCGTACACTGCTGGAGCTTTTAGTGTTAATTTATATGAAAGGTACAACATGCCGTTAACACCATAGGTGGGATCGTCCATTTCCACAAGTTAACAGACTTGGACAGCTTAGTGCACGGCCTATCAATGAGGTGGAAGTGTTGCTTAGCTTTTCCGACGTGTTTCAGCCTCGCATCAACAACGAACTTCGTCTCACATGAACACTCAGAGATGAACGACATGGGAAGCAATGCATGGGCTGTGACCGCAACCTTGCTACGGGGGTTCTATTGGTGTATATCTAAAATTATATACTTGTCCCTATTGAAAAGTTGTATATTCTCGGTTGACAACAGGAAGCCTTAATGATGTCACTTTGCCGTACTGCGTGATTGTCTTTATAGCACGTCGTATATTTAGAATAAAACTTGGGATCAGTCTTATTTGAAAACGGTGATGAAGACGAGGAATGGATGTGATCCTAATACTGAGCCATTCGATGCAAAGCTTTCTTCATCTATTACATTGAACAAGACATTACGAACCTTCACAATCAGACAACAGTGAAGGGGGACCTTAACTATCCAAATCAGAGCAGCTCGTGACTTAGAAGTTTGTGGAACGGAATACGGTCATACAAACTATCAAATACCCTTGAGATGTTCAGCTATAGCGAATAAGCTTTCACTCCACTGTCTGCAGATTTCCTCCACTACGAACAGGCTACCAATTAATTTGTAATGTATAATTGGTTCCCGTGAAGTTCGTGCTAAATTGGAGCACGATTTTGGAGGATCTACTCAGTATGCATTCGTAAACAAGCATAATGAGAGTTATTGTGTGGGACGTTGCTAACTTTATATTGCCGTCACTCATACAGATTGTGATTATGACCCCATGCCTACACGTAGTTGCAACCCGTGTAATATGTGTTCGGTCGAGGTTGTCGGGAGTTTCCATGTCCAGTGAACACAAGCAAAACAAATGCCTTGTAGAATTTTCCTACAAGATTTTCCCTTCACGTAAAAGGGGAAGACATAGTCTGATTTGATATGTGTTCATAATTCACCAATGTTCACTTAGAAATGAATCTGGATGTAATAGGCGTACATGCCACCGAAGTCGTGTTTCTGGCACAACATCAGAAATTACTATATTGCTTGTACAGGAAGGAATTTAAGTTTAACGCCAGCATTTCTCGACAGATTGATGGTGTAGCCACGGGAAGCGCACTTGGGCCAGTGTGGACTGAGATCTACATGAGCTACCTGGAAACTATCAGGCTACTACCTTGTAGGAGCGCTGCTTAGGTGCGGAGTCCAAAAATAGCCATGTCCCGTCGTTCTTACTGGATGTTAGAAATAAAATCTTGTTGGTATCCCAATGATATATTTTTGGGAGGCTCCCGAAGATACACTACGACAGTAGGGCAGAAAGATTACACAGGGAAAACACAGGTGGTGTTTGGCTAGATGGTATAAGCCAGAGTTCAAAGTAAGTTGTCCATTGATTGTATACACATCAATAGCTTTTGAATGATGTGGTTAGAGTCACATGATTGTGGCTAGTATCTTCCCTGTGCGAAGAGAAATAAGCTAAAAATAGCAAAATAAGTTAAAGCTCCTACAACCTTATTAACAAAACGTGTATTCATCTAGCTGCCACATAGACGACATTGTTGTCATTGCAGGCACTGCCGAGAAAGCAGAACACAGATTATTGGCTATCAACAAATCTTCGGGCGCCTTCCAGTTCGGGAGTGTACCGGAAGACTAACGGTGCAAGACTATACCTTAAATAGCTTCTGTCCTGTACATTACAAATAAAAGACAAACAAGGCATCAGCAGTACGTCGGTACGAAATATTGACGCTTCGCTGCTCTGGTTTGTACCATTTTTGAGAGAGCGAACCAGGACTGCTCGGAGGAAACGATCAATTGTGTGTTACAACGCGTCACCTCGATAATAAGTGAAAGCATATATATTGAGAATTTCATAGCACTGCACTCAAATGCGAACGGGAAAACTAAGTACGAACGAAGGCCGATGTCCCTAAGAAAAATGTTCATAACACTGCAATTTAAAGGAGACAAAAATGACGGCAGATGCCGATATCTTCTCGGTCAATCCATTAAAATGTATTTCTACGTTGCTCAGCTTGTGTCACTGTTTCAAGTTAAGCACTTGCACTTTAAATCTAAGCAGAATAACCTCGAGATACCGTCTTATGCAGTTGCCTGTTTCACGATAAATTTGGTAGCGAGCATGTCGGCCGAACTAATCGGAGACTGAATAATAGGATCTTAGAGCTTATTCCAGGAAACCTGCTTGTGAATGATCTGAAGCTGCTCGCCAGTCCGACCGACCGACACATACTTGACGGACACGTGTGCAAACCCACGTGAATCACTTGGGATAATCAACCGAGAGAGCGCCGCCCGTGTTTTCAATTTGCTGAAGCTTCAGTAACTAGGTGGCTGCAATGCCCTTTGTGTAAACAGGTCGAGTTTGTCGCTACTCTAGCCTTACGTTGATGAGGTGTTCTGGTCACATTCTTCTAAGCGGAATGCAGGGCAGCGTCACATGAACTTTGACCACCTGCATTTTCCCAATTACGTTACACCTTAAGGGCTTTCGTATGCAACCTATCTCTTCCACCACTTGCATGTAAACGGCTGACAAGAATACGCGAAATAGCTGGATTCAGACTAATCTGTCGAAAATTCTTTCTCACACTGTTGAACTACCTCGTATGCGGTTGGATGAAGTTATCACAGCCACCTAGTAAGAGACCACACAGGATGCAATGTGCGATTGGTTAACACCTCGTGTCAGGCTGAATATTGTTATCACAGCTGCCGAGGGGATACAGTCTGATCAGAGTAAATGGTGAAAAGAAGCACCAGCGATGACTGCCAAAAAATCAGGGAGGTAATTAAGCGAGGAAAAAACAATGACCGTCTAAACAAGTCCTAATGATATTCTCAGCGAGATCACGGATTTCAGCCACACAGACAGCACATGATAATCGATCGATTTCCAGCGCGTGTTTGTACGTTAACTTGGAACTTCTATCCAACCACGTGGCACGTGTGGATCGATTGGTTTCGACCAAGTATGTAGTTAACGGCTTTCCCGGACAGTTGGTTGTAACATTAGTTGTGCAATTAAACGTTTACAATTAGTATCAATTCGGTCCTCTTACTACAAAGCGGGAGTTAGAACAGTCTGGCGACGGAGATGATTGATCAACATGTTATCACGCAAATGTTACAAAAGCAGCAACGTCAATTGAATCAACAACAGCAATTATTTGAAATTCTCGCACAAAATTTCTCAGCACCTAAATCAGAGGTTCCAGAGGGTAGAAGTAATACCCAACTTAAAACCGCATTGGCCATTGGAATACAAGAATTCAGTTATGACCGCGACAGTGACAATACATTTTAACTTAGTGCAAGCGATATGAAGACATTTTTATTGTCGACGGTTCAGCATTGGATGTATCAGCAAAAGTACGGCTGTTGATGCAAAAAGGCGGATCTTCTGAATACAGAACATTTTGCCATTACTTTTTGCCAAAACACCTAAGAGACTAGAATTTGCAAGAAAATATGGTTAGGCTTACCACAATGCTTGAAGAGCGGACATCTATGTTTAACGTTTTCATAACTATTTAAAGCTTACTAGAGCAGAAGATGAAGGCATTGTGACACAAGCAGGTAGAGTAAACCTGGAATATAAAAGCTTCCAATAACAAAGAATGTCAGATGATCAATTCAGAGCATTGATTTTTGTATCTAACTTAACATCGCCTGCGGATACCGATGAACAGAATAATATTTCTATCAAAACTGAACGCTAGTTGCACCATTTCACCAAGGAGTATCTCAGAATGATAGACCTAAAGTATGATTCGCATATGTTAGTCAAACATCTGCTATTCATACTTGATTTCTGTTGATACAATTACCAAATCACACATGGAACAGAACAAATTTCCAAAGCAAAGAGGCTGGTTTCAATGACCACTTACACCATGCTGCAATTATGGCGCCTTACATTT